CAAGAACACATCTGTTTTCCTCCCTCTGCTCAGCGTGTGGTGTACCCAAAACTTCTGGGCTACTCTGCCTTAATTCTTCTGAGCCATGTGTTGTCACTGTTTTATGGTATGTCTGTCCTCAGGCTTGGCATTTCAACTTAGCTTTATAATTTTTTTTTTTTTTTTTTTTTTTGAGACGGAGTCTCGCTCTGTCTCCCAGGCTGGAGTGCAGTGGCGTGATCTCGGCTCACTGCAACCTCCACCTCCCAGGTTCAAGTGATTCTCATGTCTCGCCTCCCAAGAAGCTGGGACTACAGGCGCACAACACCATGCCTGGCTAATTTTCATATGTTTTAGTAGAGACAGGGTTTCACTATGTTGGCCAGACTGGTCTCAAACTCCTGACCTCAAGTGATCCACTCTCCTCGGCCTCCCAAAGTACTGGGGTTACGGGTGTGAGCCACTACACCTGGCCTAGCTTCATAATTCTTTATCTCCAGGGCTGGCCCATCTCCTCTCTTAACAGGTCTGTTTCCCTCCCATAAAGCAGACCCTTTTGTAGCTCTATTCCATTCTGGGTCCCACATCATGATGTCTAGGTGGCATTTATGAGGTTATAATTGCTGTCCTGTGTTGTAACCTCAGCTCACTTTGTTTTTTAATCACACTTTGCCAACCATTAAAGTTCTTCTTTATGGTTCTTTTCTATGTGAAACTACTGGGCACCTCCTGTAATCACAGTTGTTCCCAATTCCATCTTACCTGTTAATCTTGTATATAATTTTACTTAGTTCTTTCTTCTTTTTTCAGGCTCAGTTTAATACTGTCCTGGCACTCTTATGCATTACATTGCTCATGGGAATATAACCTCTATGTTCTAGAGAGGGCAATTTGGAAATATCTGTCAAAATGTCAAGTTCGCATACTCCTTGACCCATAAACTCCACATCAATATCTTTACATATATACAAGATTATTCACTGCAGCATTATTTGTAATAGCAGAAACTTGGAAACCACCTTAATGTCCACTGAGAGAGGACTGGTTAAATAAATTAGGCTATAGTTGGATGGTAGAACAATATGCAGACATAGATATGAATGAGGAAGTTTTTAAAAACATACTTGGTGTAAAAAGAACTCCAAGACTGCTAAATTTAAAAGGAAAGGTCTAGAATAGTGAACATCTGTATAAAAATGAGGGGAGGTGTGTGTGTCTGTGTGTATCCACATGAATGTACTTGTCCACACATAGTATAACCCTGGAAGGATACAAACTGATGGCACTGGTTCCTGACTGCTGACTGGAGGACAGGTGTTGAATGAGACCTTTTGCTATATGCCCTTTTGAACTCTTGATTTTTGAATTGTGGGAGTATATTTCCTATATTGATGCAAATGAGTAAAGAAAGAAAATAAAAGCAAGAATAACAAAACTCTCCTCATTAGGCCAGCTCATCTCTGAGCAAACACAATCTTCCCAGATCTTGCTCTGTAGTCCAAGTCCATCATTCTGTTGCCTCAGTTCAGAAATCAGAATCCCTTTCTCCCAAGGTCCTAACCACAAGAAAGAAGAAATGATGGCATCATCACTTGTGCTATAAGATGTTTCCATTTTCTGCAGGAAATCCTAGAGATTCTTTCCTGTTCTCTTCTTGCTCACACGTACCCCTGATCAGTTGGGCTGACTCCCCTTCCTAGCATATCTGGGGTCCCTGCTCCCTTCTTAACAGGCTGTTCTGGTAACTACTCACAGAACCCTCCAGTTACCACAATGGGGTCCAGCTGCAGGTTGCCAGCACCCCCACAGCATGGGGAAGCCAGATTCCTTTCTCAGAGAAGACCCATCTGAGCAACATGCCTATGCAATGCTTTGATCTGTGTCCACACACAGGTTTCCCTTTACCTCTGGATCTCTTTCTTTCATGCTCCATCCCCTTATTGTGGTATTTACTTTCCATGTCAATCATTCTTCCATAGTTCTGCTTTTCAGGAGTACATCTAATTTATCCAATCTTCAGTACCCTCATATGACCCTGAACCATTGCAAAAGGCTGATGAGAAAAGGTAAACAGGAAACCTAGTATTCATCCAAATCTCATTTGGGCCACTACTCACTCCTGAGCAAGGCTGGCCATCAAGGAACCTGTGCCTGTAAGTCCTCAGGTCTTACAGAATGACTGTCAGTAATCATTTCCACAACTTAAACAGCAAGATGCTGGCTTGGGCTATGATCAGAATCAGAGCAGAAGGAGCAGTCTGCAATGCTCTTGCCACCAGCATTCTCTTCTTTTCATTAAAACATAAAACAGAATTTGAGGATAAAGCCTGAGCTAAGCTGAGGAGGTTTATTTCAGATCTGGCTACCTCATACCTAAAGAAAAAAAAAAAAAAAAAAAAGAATCCTGCCTGTTCCAAACCACACACAATGAGCCCTTAAGCTAAATACATTCACTGGAAGAAAACAGCCGCAGTACAGTATGGAAAGCAGCATTCCCTTTATTCATCCAATTACAACATCTGATGACCTCAGCTAGCAAAATGTCTCACTCAAAATAAACATCTCCATGCACATGACAATAGTGCAGCTTAAGCAGCACCCTGTGGTTTTAAACCCCTGGTGCTCCAGATACTCACAAATAGAGGTAGAAGTTCTGTGCATACCAGCAAAGATTATGTGCAATTACAAGAATGAGGAATTTGTTTCAGATCATGTGGCTGCTCACTGATTATCACAGGTTTGCACAGCCTGCAGAATTCCTCCACGTGGAAACCTAATATTTGTACTAGCAACTGGGAAGGGCTGTTATCTGGTAGAATTGAGGTCAGACACTCAGGGTCTACGTTGCCTTATGCATGAACAGACCAACGAAAAACAAAAACAAGAAATTCAGATTTAAAAATAATCCTTCAGAAAAGAAAGAAAAAAGCAAACAGTAAGATGACTGTGTTAGTGCTTCTTATCCCAGAAGCGGGAGCTCTCCTTCCTTTCTGATGTCCCTTTAAAAGGACTGCATTATCCCAGCTTGGTGCTAACTCTGCATACCTCCACAGATGGGCTGACTTTCATACTCACACCCCCCACCCCTCATGCACGGATCCCAGAGGTGACTGGTGTAGAACCAGGTATATGACCCAAATTGACCCAATGAGATGCACTCCTGGGGCTTTTGCTGGAACCTTTGAGAAAGCACCTCTTTGACTGCAGAAGTTGCCTGGCTGGTAGGATATCATTCTGGAGCTACCAATGGCTATCTGTGTCACCACTTGGGGAGAGTCTTCTTGAGAACAAGGCTAAAACAGAACCAAGTGATACAACTGAGACTAATTTCTAGTGACACTCTGAGATTACCTGGATCTAGTCATATTGCATTTTTTAAACCCTACACTTTTCAAGTTACGTGACATAGGTCTCTCTCCTCCCTTTTTTTCTTGATTTTGAGTTGAGTGTCTGCCACTTTAAGCCTTCTCACAGAGTTTATGGAATTCTGCCCCCGAAGTCCTAATGTGTGTTCACATACAATCACGCATGTTGAAACATTGGTATAACTTTAAACCAGAAGAAACTTTAAACCAGAAGAAAATTCAGTTACTTCTCCCTGAACATTTAATTCAACTAACACTTCACACAGATTAGCTTTCAGGCTGTGTAAACTTTGCAATATGTAAATAACGTATCTATGTCTACATTTTCATTTCCAACATGCTTAACAATACCATCAGTAAGTGATCAATAAAAGCTAACTATTACTATGCTAAGAGTTCCACATACATTGTCTCATTCACTCCTCAGAATAACCAAAGAAATTGGAAGTATTACTACCTCCATCTTACAGAAGAAGAAACAGGTTTGGGAGGTTAAATTACTTGCCCCAGATCACAAAGCCACTGAGCTCAGTTTAAAGCCAGGAGATCTGATTCATCAGCCTGGACTCTTAATCAATACAAGCTACTGTTCTCAGCTTATTGGGGATATCTTCTTTTGGCAACTGTACTTCTAATTAATGAACATGTTCTCAAAAGCAATGCAAGGAATATGCTCGCACATTAGAAATATTCTAATCACCAGTGTGTTTACTCAGCAAACATGGCAGGTTTCAGTATGCACTAATGCTGGCACTTATCAGAAGGGAACAATATCTGTCTTTGGCCTAAATGTAGGAAGGAGATGAAGACATACCAGGTACTGACAAAATGCCAAATACTATGACAGGTACTTAACTTTCATGATTTTATTTGGACTTTACCACACAGTTATCCATTTTACTGCTAACAATTAGTTAGGTCAGTAAATGAGCAAGGTGTTTCTAAACCTAAAACCTATCTTCTTTCATATCTCTCATTGTTGGTGTGAATACAAGAACTTAAAGGTAGAGGCACAAGAAGACGGTTATCTAAGGTTAAAACAGGCTGCCTGCTCTCAAAGGAGTCTGAGTCTAAAATTCTGTAAACATTTATTTAAAAAAGTCTGGCATGTTCCAGCCAATGGCATACAAAGACTGAAAAACAAAATTAGGAAAACATTCTCTAAGAGAAGGCCTTCACATGGCCGCTCCATAAGACCCATCAGGAGAAAAGAAACACATAACCTGAGGTTCCACTTGGGTCAGGGAAAAGCACGTCAAGAAATGTTTCCAGACTCCTTGGATCTAGTGACAATAGCCTGTTGGGAAGCCAACTTCATTCTGGTACGTCGTCATTTCCTTGGTTCTCACAGAAGACATCTTGTGTCCCTCCATATTTTGTCTTATTCTTCCCCAACTATTGCTTCTCTTTCCATCCTTGTCAGCAGTTTGAGGGCAGATAAAGCCTTAGAGCCAAAACTGGGTGGTTTGGATATTGCTGAAATTTGCAGCCACAGCAAAACCTGATAACTTGGTATTAACAGATCACTGCATCTCTAGTGTATAGATATTTCTGGCACCCAATAGCTTCCAGGCTGGGAGTTGACAAGACAGCCTAAATTCACATTATGACAGCCTTCTCAGGTCTGAGCTTAAGACAGTACAAGTTCATCCTCACCTCTGCTTTTCTCTGCTTCTCCTCCTGCTCTCTCTGCTCCTTCTCCATGCCAACCAGCTTGAGCTTCAGCTCAGACACTTCAGTCATCAGATCAAGCTTCTGGGTCTCAAGAGATGTGCGGCTTAGCAGCTCCTGCAAGCAAAAACAGATCTTGAAATCAGAAACCACCATGGCAATAAGAACAGCTCTGGCTTCATCTACAGCACGTAAGGCAATACCTAAATTGTGTGTTCAACAACACAGAATTGAGACTGGTACATATGAGTCACAGGCCTATTATGGATGGGCCTGGGCTGATGCTGGGCTACTCAGGAATAGCACACCCCCGATACCACCCACTATGCTTTGATAGACAAGGTGAGCTACATTTCTCAAATATGTTTGCCCATAGAGACCATTATTCATTATTTCCATGTAGAGAAAAGCAAATGGATACTTTCAAAGAGCCAAATTTATCAATTTTTTTAAAAGACAAAGCAGCAGGTCCTCTCTACCAAAACAAACAAAAACGCTTAACAATATATTTTTTTCAAAGCCAAAATTTCTAGATCACTTTCTGGGCTCAACCAATGCTCAGCCCAGTCTTCAACATGTTTGAATACAGGACTTCACTGCAATGAACCTAGACAGGAGCTAGAGCACAAAGTAGATGTTCAAAGAGTATTGAATGATTACATATGAATCTTATGTGAGATGGATCTTTCCTGGGCTATTCCAAAATTATAATCTGGCCACTCTGGAATGTAAATAAGATTGTTCTTTCCCAATTGTGAGGACAGACCAGGAAGCTTATTACTAATCTTGCCATCACTAGAACAGTAGCAGACTATAACCAAATAACCCAGGTCTTTGACAACAAACCTGTCACTAATAAAAACACTTAATAAGCATAAACAAGGTAAAAAATAAAGATGATAGACAAGACACTCACTTAGAACTAATATGATTATAAAGGACCTCAAAAATCAGGAGCATTTCCTAAAGTCCAGGGTAACTTATTTTTCCATTGGCAAAGGACAATGTCCTGTAAGGTCCAAAATCCTGGCACATGGTAGACACTGGCTACACAGGTTGTGGCAAGAATAGACACAGCAACCAGGAATAGCAATGGGCCAAATGAACAGAAGAATATGCAATATCCTGCCATGGTTTGACCATTTTGTATCATCTTGGGCAACCCAAGCTCAGCACAAGAATGGCAATCTCAACACTCTGACTCAGCCACTACGAGGTCACAGATTTGGAACTGTCCTCAGATCATGAATCAAACCATGCAGGACAGAAATTTTTGACTTGGAATACATGATTCCCCAGGCCAACAGCCTGGGAAACAGCCTACCTGGGAAAGGCAGGCAACAAACTGTTCATCTGCTAGTCTGAGGGGATGGGTATCTATCTAGAAGTCCAGCAACTCAGCATAATAAGCTGCCCAAGCTCTGGGACTAAGGAGGCCAGCTCTTCCTGGGCCAGCCAGACTGGAAGCTGGCTCACAAGGCAGAGGCAGAGCACTGCAGCCAGAGCACAGGTTACTTGGCCACTAGGAGTCAGCCAGATGAGTGTGTCCAATGCACTGGAGAACTGAAATATTTTGAGTGCCTCTTCTGTACCAGAGACTGCTGGAGCTTTTGTATACATCTTCTTAATAAACCCTCCCAGTGAGTTGGCAGGAAATATTATCCCAATTCTACAGATGAGGAAACAGGCCAAGAGAGAGTATGTAAATCTTTTGGCCAAGGACACAAGCCAATCAGCAGCCAAGTTAGTTTTTCTTTCTTTCTTTTTTTTTTTTTTTGAGATGGAGTTTCACTCTTTTTGCCCAGGCTGGAGTACAATGGCGCGATCTTGGCTTACCACAAGCTCCACCTCCCGGGTTCAAGCGATTCTCCTGCCTCAGCCTCCTGAGTAGCCAGGATTACAGGCGCCCACCACCACAGACAGCTAATTTTGTATTTTTAGTAGAGACTGGCTTTCACCATGTTGGCCAGGCTGGTCTTGAACTCCTGATCTCCAGTAATTCACCCGCCTCAGCCTCCCAAAGTGCTGGGATTATAGGCGTGAACCACCACGCCCGGCCAGCAGATTTAGTTTTCAAACAAAACTCTGTTTGACCCCAGAACTCATTTTAGTCTATTGTATTACACAGTTTCCCAAACAGAGAAAGAAGTCCAAGCATTTTAAGAGACATTTAAAAAAACATGCTAAAATAGGCAATCAACAAACATTCAGTGAGCCCAGGAAATGTCCACTCAAATTGCCAAGATTTCATTGAGCACATACTACCTATCAGGGCCTAGTGCTAAGGCTATGCAGGCCACAAAGGGCCTTAAGCAGTTCTTTCCTGAGTGTGAGGGCACACACAATAAGTTCTCTGAGTCTTGAGTACATGAGTATCTTAAGATGTAATCATCCTCCACACCACCTATTCTCTTCCCCTTCTTTCCTTTCCCTACCTCCCTCTCTTCCTTTATTACCTCATTCTCTAGTTCTCTATCCTTCTGCCTACCCACCTTGTTCCCAAAATGTTTTTAGGCAGTTTGTAAAATAGATATTTTCAAGTTAAAAAATAAATCATAAAAATTAAAGCAGGTAGGAAAATAAGTTAAAGTCAAGAGTTACAGTCAGTAGAAAATCTATGCCATAAACTTCTATAAACAGCTAGAGATAGACTATAATGTACGTGTGAGCCTCCCAGCTGCCAATGCAAAGGGGAAAAGGAACAAGTGCACAGGTCAAGGTCCACAAGAAAATGTCTTTAGACTATTAAGATCTCAGGGAAAAAACATCCTCCATGAGACTTCATTCTTTCATTCAACAAATATGTTTTTAAACACCTACCAGATGCCAGTGCCTAGACACATGACATTTACTAATAAAACAAAGCCCCTGTTGAGTACTTGAACGTCTTAAGATGATGCTCAGCCTGGGCACAGTGGTTCATGCCTGTAATCCTAGCACTTTGGGAGGCTGAGGTGGGTGGATCATTTGAGCCCCCAAGAGTCTGAAATCTGCCTAGGCAACATAGTGGAACCCTGTCTCTACAAAAAAAAAAAAAAGAAAAGAAAAGAAAAAAAAATTAGCACCCATGGTGGCATGGGCCTGCAGTCCCAGCTACTTGAGAGGCTGAGGTGGGAGGACTGATTGAACCTGGGAGGTTGAGGCTGCAGTGAGCTGTGATCATGCCATAGCACTCCAGCCTAGGCGACACAGTGAGACCCTGTCTCAAAAAAAAAAAAAAAGGTATTCACGCAGTTTTGTCTTCTGATCAGCATTCAAAATATTGCTTTGACGTGATTTTTAAAAGTTTCACAATATATCTCTTTTGAAAGCTAAGAGTCTACTCTGCTTCCTTCATGGCCAAAATCCCTATTTTAACTACCAGGTTGTGATTGGTCATACCAATGTTTCAGCTGATGAAGACAATATTTTCACTAGTTCCAATAGCCATTCCAATTGGTCATGCCAGTGTTTGAATTAGTCACACTAACATTCCAAATAGACATTCACAATTGGACACACTAACATTTTAATTAGAAACCTGAGGTTGTGGCCGGGCGCGGTGGTTCACGCCTGTAATCCCAGCACTTTGGGAGGCCGAGACGGGCGGATCACAAGGTCAGGAGATCGAGACCATCCTGGCTAACACAGTGAAACCCCGTCTCTACTAAAAATACAAAAAAAACTAGCTGGGTATAGTGGCGGGCGCCTGTAGTCCCAGCTACTCTGGAGGCTGAGGCAGGAAAATGGCGTGAACCTGGGAGGCGGAGCTTACTGAGAGCCGAGATCGTGCCACCGCACTCCAGCCTGGGCGACTGAGCAAGACTCCGTCTCAAAAAAAAAAAAAAAAAAGAAACCTGAGGTTGCTTAATTTCATATAGTTCACTGATAATAGAACATTACTTATTCTCTTCAGCTTATATCTATTAGCATGTGCTTCTACCTTTCATGATCATCTTCCCCTTGTCCCTGTCATAATTACTGTTCTGGTCCCTAAACTCAAAATCAGTCTTCAACAAACTTATCCCAGTCCAGCTCTACTTCCCCATCTCCAGATCCAGCAACGCCCTTAGCCACTATTATGAACTGTGATCTCTGAAATGTGTGTTGTAATAGGAGTTAACTTATCCTACATCCTCAACTGCTTCTTCTATTTCCAACATAAAGTGAATCTTGTGCTTTCAACAATATTACACATTCTTCTCAGTCATTTCAAGTGGAGACCACTCAGCTTCCACCAATCCAACTTACAGAACACTGTGCTCCCTATATTCCAGGACTGCTTCCAACCCACCATTTGGCCCCCCGACCATCCACATCTGTCCTCCTATTGTAAGGCAGTGCTCTTCACTTATACCACATTCTCCCCAAACCGAAGGAACTAACCCGCTTCCTTCAGGCTTTTTTCTTGATCAACAGATTTTCTACCTACTTTAGGTGCATTCCACCTCCTCAATAGCTTCCACATCCTTGTTATTAATTTTTCCATTCAGCATCCACTCTGGCTTCACATTCTTTGACCTCAGCTCCAATAGGCTTTGCTTTCCATTTCGTTCAGCTTCTCAGCAGCACAGTCACAACTTGGATCTCACGTGTATCCAGAATGTGTTTGCTTTGCTTCTAAAATCTTCAGCTCTGAAATTCTCTCTGGCCACAATCTTCTGACCTTTCATCTGTCCCACTTGCTCACTCAACCTCTAAGTTCTTCTGTGGCCACTAGTTACTTAGTAACTCTATTTTCCTGGTTTATCAACTTCCTTGAAGCAACATTGTTCTCCTTATCCACTCTGTACCTTGAGGTGAGTCATTTCAATTGCATTCATACCTACAGCAGAAAATCCTCATGGGATGTCAATCCTGTACCAGGCCTCGTGTGCATTTGTTAGTCTTTTGTCTGTGATTCCACTCTCCACAGCTTAACAATTGCTAGTAAAAGTAACTTGATGCCAGTTGGTTTCCATACAAATTTATGCTATCTAATTATAGCTGATCTTCCAATACTGCCTGGCAAAACTTGTATTTGTCTCTGTCCGATTCCTTTCAGGAACTGTTCCAAGTCTTTTCTGGTCTGCTCAAGCCCTAAACCCCTACCATGTCCCCCTCTTCTCCTCAAATAATCTCTTCTCATATTTGCTGAA